TTTGAGTTCCTCTTGAAGTACCTGTTTGGCTCTGGCAAAATCAACGTCCGACATAGGCAAACATTTTTTAATACCATTCAACAAATTCCGTATCTAATTGAAAGTCATTATGTAGTTGTGCACAGGTGAGATCTGCTATCTGAACAAATGCTGAAGCTGTTTCATTTTCCACAGCTAGTGCTCCACCAGAAGCAAGGAAAAGGGTACTCTTCCCCCCATTCCTCTGTAGGGAATTATAAATAACCAATCTAGACATGAGTGAGGAATGGATTTCAAAGTCCCACATAAATTTTCAAAGGCTTCGTGTAATTTATACTTTAAAATGCCTTTGACAAGTAGTCCGACTCTACCACCCCTCTCCTTGATCCCCTAGCATAGCCACACACACCTTCCCTGGTCTTCTCACTGGGTTCTCTAAGAGAAAGTTGCATTATTTTTACTAAAGGATATTATGGTAAGTCTCTAGGGAATAAGGAAATTAGAAAGTTTATTTATGTACTTTTTCAATTTTAAAGAAAATCATAAAAATACTTTCCTTCTTTCTCACATTGAGGTTTCGTTAGGTGTGCAATTATTGCCTTAATTGGATTACCATTGCCTCTAGGCTAGTTTATGCCTTTTACATGATCAAAAACACACATATAAATGATATGATTGAAAACGGAAATGCACTGGTTTTTGGTGATGGGATAATTCAGATATTTTTATATACCCATTGGTAGCAAACAATTGCATTACCTTCCACTTTTGCAAATATTATTAGTGAAAGATAGAAATTCATTTAAGGATTCTCTTTGCTCTTATTGCTAACCTTTCTGTACACTTCAATTTTATTATATTTTTGCTCTCCAATATTTTACATGATTAGAATATAGAAACAGTTAATGCAATATAATGTAGCTGATAAAATTAAACAGAAGTAACACATTAGATTTTTTTTAACTAAACCATTTACTACACCCTACTGTGTTCATCCTGTATAATTATACATCTTCTGACTTGTCTCATGTAATTCACAATTTCTTCCTGCTGCTTAATCGCAGACTTCGGCAAACACATTTTAGGGGAGAGACTCAGTACAATTTTTCTATAATCTTTTATTTGCCATGGGCATTAAGGTGATGATTACCTACATGGAAAAAAATGAGGAGGTGTCTAAAAGATACAGGAGTAAAGGTACAAGATGGTTTTCAAGTACATGCATAATTTAGATCCATTCTTGTGGGAGGAAATCACAAGGAAATTAATCAGCAATATATTTGTAGACTTTGTACCAATCATTTTTATAAGACACAAGCAGCATGTATCATATGTTGTTTCTCAGTCACAAGAAAGAGAGGCATCAAAAGGCAATCAGGCATATAAAATCAAACTGGCAGTCCTGGCCCTCAGAGCTTTCTGTGGTGCATAAAACTTCTTTGAACAAGAGAAATGTTAGTGTTCATGTCTCAGGTGGAAATTGGCCAAAAATACTATCACACTCAAAAAAAATTTCATTTCTATCATATTTTGGCCTTTGATATGTTGCCGATTGTCTAAAATATTTAGTAATGCCTAAAGACATCCTAGGAATAATGAAAAAGTACAGACTTTGACTATAGAACAAGCTGTAGTTCCCTGTCTAAGATGGTAAACAGAGTCAGTGATAGGACGCACTGGGCGCAATAAGGTAATATTTACTTTGCTTTAGACAATAGGGAAGATAAAGTGATAACGAGTTGGGCTTACTAGAAAGAGAAGTGATTAGAAAGCTTTTCATGGCAGGCATATTGCATACCATAAAACACATTATAAGACTTGGATTTTTAGCTAAACCTAGTGGCTTTCAGTTCCATAATCATCTTTGTTCTGGACTTTTCGCCAGGGTAAGTGTGCTGTTCCTTTTCAGTCAGAATCAATTCCTTTAGGGTAGATTACAAATGACTCCTTTTAACCCTTTAAAATGGTGTCTGTAATGAATTATATTACAAATATGCTCCGGACCAAGAAGTTTGGCAATGAATATTCTGTTACATATTCAGCTTGTCATTCACAATCAACTCTCTCTCCCCTCTCTTCTGAACTGTCTTATTTCTCCTGAGAGTTATCATTGATATTGGATAAATAAAAAGAAGTTTTAGGCTAGCTTCCCAAACCATTCAATAGACTTTCAGGAAAGAAAATCTATCACTTCTGGAAAGGAAAAGAAAAGAAAGGGGGAGAAAAGAAAAGAAAAGAAAAGAAAGGAACACAAAAGAAAAGAAAAGAAGAGAGAGCGGGAGAGAGAGAGAGAGAACTACCCAGTGATCATGCCTGAATGAAGGCTCCTGAGCTAGACTGCAATTGCATTTGATCTGTTTCTCTGTTGATTTTGTAAACCTTTCCAAAGGTTTCCATAGTAACAAGTGAATTATCCCCTCTCCCCCCAACATTTTCCAAGGATGTAGGAGGGATACAGATAAAGGTTGGTGAGAAAAAAAGCTACAGTATTTTTTTCTACTACCAGGATAGATCTGAAGAAGTCATGATTAGTCTTTTAAGGAATCAAGTATGTTTCTCCCACCACAGTCATGAGAAAAAGTTGGGTCAGAATTTACTTACATCTCTGATGTCTGCGTTTGCTCCTGTACATGGTCATTCTGGAAAAATCCGACTTTCTAAGAAGTAATTGCTTTGACCACGGAGACAAAGAGATGGGTTGTGTTCCTGCTTTGCAGTAAGACTGTTGCTCACTGACAGAAGGTAACCAGCAATCACACAGTGAAAGCCAGGGTAATACCATTCTCATAAAATTACAGGGGAGACGCTACAGCCTGTAACTACTCTATCTAATGCAAATCTTCCAGAGAAAATTGTATTCCCTTCACCTTCCCCCAACTGATATCAGTTAAGTTCTCTAATAAAATCTGCACTATGAAAGTGCTGTGCTTGAAGCAATGTTGAGTTAAGAACAGATTCATGTATTTAGCAAGAACAGTAAAACTGAAAATACAAATATGAGATATAAAAACCCTTTTTTGAGATTTATGGAAATTAAAAACTATCCTTTGGGTTCACATGTCTTTTAGCCACCCTAGAATGCTTAGATTCGTATTTTATTTTTGAAATTCTACTAAATTCTTTCTGTCTCTGAGCTCTCAATGAATGCACTTTGTATGCTCAATTATTAAAGCAATTACCACTTTTAGTTTTGTCTATTTCTCCAAACAGACTGCTTCTCAGGCAATGCAGGAATTGCAACATTTTCACATTATCTCCCCAGGCCTAGAATAGAAGGGGCATGCATTAGGGTATCAGAGTCAGTGAGTGCCTACTGTGTGCTGGGCACTCTGTCCGCTCCTGAAAGAAGACTTTCAGGAGTCTTTTGCCTGCCTTCCCCCCTGCTGCCTCATTTTTGTCCTCAGACCTCTATTTTCACAGGATTGTGGACATATCCTTATCTGAACACATTTCACACTGTCAACTGGACAGCACGGAAGCTTTGTCTTCATATCCCTTGGACTCTCTCTGCTCTGAGAGCAACGCCCGCCTGGTACTCCGCAGCAGCTCAGGAGCACTACTTCTCCCAAACACTCCAAAATTGTGTATGATTTCCAATCTCCTTCCTGTGCTAATGAGGGTGTCTGAAATGCAGTTTTATTTAAAATACCAAAGGATTTAGACACCAGCGAATAACTTCTATGTAATAAGACTTCCTGATTATACATTAAGCTTCCATCTTCCAGCTAAAAGCAGAAGACATTTTCAATTGCCAAAATTCCTTTTTAGTGTTAACAAACTCAGTCTACTTACTGATAGCAGGAGACATCCTTTTTAATAAAAGGATTATTTCAGTGTCAAGAATATTTTCATATTTGGGGCACCTGGGTGGCTCAGTTGTTAAGCATCTGCCTTCGGCTCAGATCATGATTCCAGGGTCCTGGGATCGAGTCCCGTATCAGGCTCCCTGCTCGGCGGGAAGCCTGCTTCTCCCTCTCCCCCTCCCCTGCTTGTGTTCCCTCTCTCACTGTGTCTCTCTCTGTCAAATAAATAAATAAAATCTTTTTTTAAAAGAATATTTTCATATTTAAGTAATTACTACATTTCGTAATCACAGATTTCAAGAAGAGCATGTCGGCAGGTTTTTAGCAGTATTCCTGTCCACTTTCTTTGACTTTTCACTAACAAACTGTAGTGTTTAGTGAGATTTTTTTGTCAAAGACCACTATGGTTATATCTTACTGTAAGACATAGTCAATTCTGAAACACTAGAAGGATTTTCCTTGTTTTCTCTAATAGTGAGATTAAAATATTTCAATAAATATAATAAGTAGGCTTTTTCTTAATGACATACAATACACCTTATATCCCACAACCTTTTACCTGCTTAATTTTTCTCCACAGCACTTACGTATTTGTTTTTTGTCTCTGCCTACTAGAACATTAGCTTCCAGAGGACAGGCTTTCTTTTTTCAGGGATATATATCCAGAGGACATATTAATGCCTGGTATAAAGTGGGCTCTTGGTAAATATTTGCTGAATAAAGGAGTTTTTATGAACTAATTTAAGTTATAAAGACAATACAACTATAATTAATTTTTCAATAAATCTGGACAAGAGTCAAACTCATGTTTATTGACTGAAGTTACTTTCTTACTTGAAGCAAGCACTTATCATTTCATGTCTATCTTTTGGCCCCAAAGTTAATTTGGACGAGTTCACTGTTTTGGATGGAATTGTATATACTCACAGATGTGAAGATAAATTTTAAATTTACTGAAGCAAAGTCACAACCACTAAGCAAGTTCTCCTTTATAAAAGTCACCCATGCCAGAAGACCAACAAACATAAAATTTATTACAACTAAACAAAGTTAAAACCATTTGTCTGACATACGTGTACACATACCTATGATATGAATAAACATGTCATTGGTGATGATGAGGCAGAAATAGCCTAATGATACAATGACATAAATGGTATTAATTTTTACATTATTGCATGGTTCTGTCACATGTGTAGTTTTTCTCTTTTCACATTGTTAGTACTGTAGTATCCGTAATTAACATCGATCTGAACAATTTTTGCAAAGGCTATGTAACAATTTAAATTTGTTCACATATACTGCAACCCACCACCCAGTCTCATTCATTATCACACAGACACACATGAAAACAAGTATCCTGACTTGTACTCCTCAATGTTTGGTACACTGTTGTGCTCCCAATCTTGCACCAGGGTTCTTTCATTGTTTCCACATAGGGATTTTCATGCTTTCAACTCTTTCTTACATTACTCTTCTTACCTCAGGGAATATAGAGCCATCCACTCTTGGACCTCATATCTGTGCTTAGTGCTTTAAACCATCACGATTGGGGACCTCAACTACACCTAATGGGTTGAGACCAACTTCACGAGTACCACGTTGCAGCACAGGTAGAGGAAGTAGCTGAGGCAGAGGAGGAGGTCTTGGCTGGGAAATTTTCAGCCACAAGAATAGGGAGGAAGAATGCAGACATATAGGACAGAAAAGGTAGCTGAAGAGAGAAGGCAGGTCCAGGTATCTCATTCTTTTTTCCCTATCCTCTTCAAGAATCCAGGCTGAGTACTGTTGTTTTATGTTCAAAATCAGCTTTATGCCTATAACGTCAGAGGTCAAAAAAAAGCATTACTTGCTTTTTAAAATATCTATCTACTCCCTGCAACGTGATTTCTTTTAATGGACTCAATCTTTTTTTTTTTTAAGATTTTATTTATTTATATTAGAGAAAGAGAGAGAGCACACAAGCTGGGGAGGAGGAGCAGAGGGTGAGGGAGGGAGGTGAGCAGGGAACCCAATGGTCACGGGGCTCGATCCCAGGACCCTGGGAACATGACCTGAGCCAAAGGCAGACACTTAACCAACTGAGCCACCCAGGCGCCCCTAATGGACTCAATCTTTATACTCCATACTTAAAATACAAATCCAATGAGTGTTGATAAATTGGGAAGGACGACTTATCATATAAATTCAAATGATTATGTCAATATCTTTCCCTTTTTCATAGAAGGAACCATTTAAAAAATAAAAGTATCTGGCAAAGTAAGAGAAGATGACTTTTAACATAAAAGAAAAACAAGGAAGGAAGGAAGGGTGTGTATTGTGTGTGTGTGTGTGTGTGTGTGTGTGTGTGTGTACAATGAGAGATAAAGGAAGTACTCTGTGCTGCTATGTGTCAAGCACTGTGCTAAGTATACATCATGTCATATAATCTTTGCCATTCTGTTACTTAGCTACCCCTACCTTCCTTTTAGAAATGAGCAAACTTTCCCCAAAGGATGGCAGGTGCAGGTAATATTCAGGGACACTGCATGACTTAGGTAGTTGTGTTGAGATTATTTTGTTAGAAAATAGACCAATATGATTTTAGGACTGAATTAAGGGACAATGCACTGGGTAGCTGCTGGAGAAGACTTATGTAAAAGTGTCATTATAATGTCACTAATAATACACTGAAATCAAGAAAATGATGTTTGCTGGAACTCATCACAGGGAATGAACACCGTGGTTTAATGAGAGCTAACATTCGTTTAGGGAGTGCACATTAGGTGTTAGGCGTTAGGGTGTCTTCTAAGAGTTTTATGGGATTAATCACTGAATACTAAAAACAATCCTATGATGGATTCACCCACCACCTCCTCCTATCATTATTATTATTTTTATTATTTTGTTTTTGCCCCTTTTAATGTTTCAGTAAGATAAGGCTGAGAGATTAAGTGTTCTGACTGAAACCTCACAGAGAACAGGAGATAATGCTTGGCTTTGAACTGGCTGATCTTTCTCTAGAGCCCATGCAATACTGTAGCATGCCATGTAAGGTTGAAGGGATACTTTTGGTAGCTGTTTAGGCCATAGGGAATGAAGACCCACAGAGACATATTTCCATAACAACTAGTAGTGCTCAACTCACTCCTAAGAGGGATGAATGCAATTAACTGCAGGGTTTAGGCTGCTGGCTGCTGGTAGGGACATTCAAGTTCAGAAACACCATGGACTGCTTGGGACAGCAGAGGTCTGCTCATGTCAGCAGCAGTGCTGACTTCCCTTTCTCATACATGTCACCTCACCCACCTCTCCTCCTGATGCCCCCACCCTCATCCTTTCTTCCAAATAAAACACTAAGAGAACATTTAAAGAATACCAAGAGTATCAAATGATTAGCCCACCCAGAGTTCTGACATTCTTACCTGGTTTAAAAATTACAATATTGTATGTAAGTGATGAATCACTAAATCCTACACCTGAAACTAATATTACACTGTATGTTAACTAAGTGGAGCTTAAATAAGAACTTGGAAGAAAAAAAATTATAATATGTGTTAATTTTGGTAGAACTTCTAAAAATTTTATCAAGACACAGTATATGGACGGTGTAGAAATATTTTTTTAAAGATTTTATTTATTTATTTGACAGAGAGAGAGCAAGAGAGCACAAGCAGGGGGAGCAACAGAGGGAGAGGGAGAAGCAAGCTCCCCGCTGAGCAGGGAGCCCAATGTGGGGCTCCATCCCAGGACCCTGGGATCGTGACCTGAGCTGAAGGCAGATGCCTAACCGACTGAGCCACCCAGGCGCCCCTGGCTGGTGTGGAAAATTTAACTTGAAATGCATGATACTTATATTTCAGAGAATTACTAAAACAATAAAATGGTAAA